AAATGTTACCTTCTGGCCCATATCCCGAGTTACTATCCTTCTCCCTGGGTAAACTTTTGGGGTCTCATTAGCTCACAGRGCAAGTCTCCACAGCAAAAGGCTCTCAGAGATCCTGAGGTGGCTCTGAGGAAACCGGCTGGTCCGCAGGGCACGTCGCGCTGCCGTGCGGGGATGCAAGCTCGCGTCCCAGCGGCAACACAGCTCTGCCTGTGCAGCAAAGCACCCACGCTCATTAGCCCTGCCCCTGAGGACGCTGCAGGAATGGGGCTAATTAGCTATGCTGAGGCAGCCCTGTTAACGAGCCTGGGGAGAGCACAGCGATGCTAGTTCCGATGACGGTGTCAGCGCAGGCATGCTCAGCTCCGGAGCACAGCTGAGCCCACGGGCTCCTTTCGGGTGCCAGCCAAAGAACCCAAATATCTTTTTCAACCCACCCTTGCCGTCTAACCCTGCTTTTGTAAGTGCTCATGGTTTCCTCTTGACGGTAGGATAAATAAATAAACGAATTCAACCAATGAAGAAAAAAATGCCGGTATAAACCACGCTACAATAATCTGGCAATGTATTTGTTAGTTAATTCAGGTACAGGTGGCGACATGCCTGTAGGGAAGCACTGGATATTCCTAACCCATCCCGATAAAAGGCATGCTTTGGCTTATGCACACATCTTGCAAGCCGTCGAACTCTCCAGGTACTGTTAACTCGAGCCAACRCAGCCATAAGTATAGAGTACAGCATATTAAGTTGTAATCGCGCGAGGTTTTTCCATTACAACTTCAGGGCTGCATGAAATCATTTCGAAACACATCTAGGAAGGACAGAGCTCCTAGGAGAGCAGTTGTTTTTTCTTTTCTTTCTCCTCTTATCCTACCGGCCATGAGAATCGGGCTGGTCGTCCCTCTGCTTCCTCTCCCCTTCTCAGCCAGCCCTTTCCCTTGCCCTCAGGATCTCAGCACCCCAGATCACAGATATACATAAAAACGTTAAGTTGATGCCTTTCAAGCAGAAAATATACATGCTTCATGCCATTCCATGTGGTTTATGGCACTCGTTTTTGAAAAAGATTGAACCCAGTGATTTCCACTCATCTTGCACAGGTGTGGAAGAGCACACAATTCTTTCCTATATGTTTGAAAATAGCATATTTGCACATGGGTAACTCCTGAATAGGACCTAGGCCCTTAAGTCCTGGGTTTCGGTTCTCCATCACACTGCAAAAATAATAACGTTAAAAACCTGGACACTCCAAATGGAAGCAACTCACCGAGTGCAATTAAAAAAAATAAATGCACAGTGAAATTTTAAAACAGCCTCAAAAACTTATAACATCGTGCTCCTGGGGCATTTAAATCTGAGACAATCAAAATTACTAGGACAGTGGATATGTGAAATGAAATGATAAATACCAGAGAAGACAGGGATTTCTTCTGGTATTAATCTTGTTCCAGTAGACAAAATACTTGAGCTTCTCTCAAAGATGGCTACAGTTTAGATATATAGAAGCAAAAACAATCAGGCTCTGTTAACTTAATACATAGGATATGGAGGTTGGAAGAAGGGAGGAAGTTTTAAAAGCAATTTCATCTCAAAAGTCTATTGGTGCATTTAGATTAAGTTTCAGTTTTTCAGCAGTTAGTAAATTTGAAAATTAAATGCTTAATCTTTACTTTGTTTCTTTTAGGAAGATCCTTAAAAGTAGAGCTTCTGTTTACATACCTTTATGAAATTTGTCAAAACAAAACAGCTTTACGTGCTACAGCATCAACTAATGCAAACTGGGACATCTTGAGCAACGTTGACTTTACAACAGGGACTCTGGATAAATACCAGACGCACMAAAGAGTCATTAACTTGATATGATATGAGAAAGGTGTTGAAGAGAATAACTTATACAGTAGTAATAATGATTCTGCCTATGGACATCTTATCTTGCTCTTGAACTGCAAAAATATACTTTAACACGCCTTGTCTCCAGACAAGTTCTGAGTGATCTAGAGACTTCTCAGTTTGAGAGTTTGAAAGCTGCCCCTCCAGTTGCACATGGCTTGCACGCAGACCAAAGATTTAACACAGCACATTGACTTACAGAGCCCTAAGAAATATGAGATGGAAATCCTCAGCAAGATCATCTCCTTGCTCCATAAATGTCAACATTGAGTGCCAAACTCCAAAACAAACATGATCCAATTTAACAATCCAATCTATCTTCCCAACTGTATAAATATCTCAGATTTTTAGCTTTACTGCCAGAACTTGTCTAATACCTTTCAGCTTGTCCCTCTGTTTTGCATCTACCAATAACTGTTTTCTCCTCTTTCTACCTCTTCAAAACAAAAACTGCAGCACAAAGGTTATCAATTTCTACAACCTCTTCTGCTCAGACAGACTATAAGGTCTCTGTCACGGAATAGCAGCTCATCCTTCATTCTCATTATACTGGTACATAAATCCTCAGAGTGATCAGGGAAATGGGAAGCTTGCTACCCTCATAACATTCCTTGCGTGCCTGCTGAAGGCGTAGGGTCTATGCCTTGCTCAGGATTCCCAAGAAGACAGAGTTAAGAATAATCCAACATATATACAAGAAGGAATAGCRGGGAAGGATAAATTGTATGGAGGCTTAGTCAAAAAATCCTCAAAACCACTTGGCTTGGTCTTAGAGTCTTGGCTTATGGTCTTTAGAAAATGGTTAGAAAATTAAACTAGCCATAACAATCTTTTTCTTATTTCTCAAAGTAAGATTGGACTTATACCTTTGCACATCATCTGAAAGATAAAAATCTGTGGTTAACAGTAGAGCGGAGGGGTATAGCCTTTTCTTCTTTTAAGCTGAGAAGTCCTTAAAACTTCTATAATGGAGGCAAAATGTGGAGAAATGAAGTCTCTGGGCAACAGGTTTACATTCCCGGAGTTATTCTGCACTGACTTCTTCGAATGGTCCTGAGAACTTGGAGGTCAAGTAGACAAGAAGCTGAACACCACTGCGTTACAAGGTCATTTCCTACACTGAAGAAGCTAGCAGGTGAGCAGCAGTGTGGCTGGGGTGCAAATACGGCATTCCTGAAAAGAGAATGCTCCGGAGCAGCACGGCGTGTCCGTACAGGCACAACACCGGCAATTCTTCTGCACAGAGAAGGAACTGCCATTGCATGTAAAAAATAAACATTTGTCTGCCCTCCAAACTCCTACAATTATAAATAGTTTGAGTGACAAATGCTTCTGTCGCAGCATTCAGGATCTCTTCAGAAAATATCCCTAGTGCTGTATGCGATTAACCATAGCGTGGCAGAGTTCACCCTTATATATTCCGGATAAGCCTGTTGGTTTGAGTAAGAATGTGTGTGCACGTGTGAAGTCTGAATGTGTGTGCATATGGAAGCAGCAGAGTGGGTTATGTCAATCACTTGCACACTCTTCAGGCTGACTGACATAGCTTGATATCCATGCTTTGACAGTAATAACAGCATTAAATTCCTAAATGTTGTGCACTATGTTGCTCAACAGGTTTTATTATAGAAAAACTGTGTAGTCTTCATGAATGAAGTTTCACATAGGAAAATGTTAAAAAAAATTTAGACATTATTTGCATAGATTGCATTAAGTTGCTTGTTTCCCACCCCTCCCAAATATCTCAGTAGCTTAGAAATAAATTATAGTCAGAGGGTTATTAAAATCTAAAAAAAAAAAAAAGTCTATCTTAAACCACAAGACAAAGCAAATAGTATTGTCATCTTTTTTCAGACCTCCCAAAGTTATTCTTACTCCAGCTGTCAGACAATCTTGCATCCCCCGGACATCTTTCCTGAAACTCTGCTGTAATGTTTCAGACACATTCAATTATTTCCTCTTCAGTACGTTTTAAAAAAAAAAAAGTGAAATGTGGTTCTCTTTAAGAAAGAGAAGAAAAAGTTTCTTCAGTTCAACTTAATAMGGAGAATATTCTTTCATTAATGAAATCACTCTGCAAATTTCTAAATTACTTAAATAGTGTTGGTAGAAATGTTGTCGCTGAGGATAGAAATATTATTCGCATTTCTAAGCCTTTCTAATTCCGTTCTTGCTGGGACAGTGCTTCAACCTATAAAAAGCTGACTCGCTGATAAATCCCTAGTCACACCGAGAAGGTCTCACTTCAGTGATGTGCTCTGAAGCCTGTCACTTCAGAGGAGCAACGTCAAGCCGTGTGAAGCACTAACATGTAAATGCTCTTCCAAAAACACGCTGACCAAAACGGAGGGAGGAGAGAGACGAGAAGTTTGTAACAGCTCCTTGCCCAAGTCGGTAGCGTCTGAATGTGGGATTCTGCCTAGTTTATTTTAAGTCTGAACAGCTAGCAGCTGGAGTATGTCCCACATACTAACACTTGGAATTCCCCTGGGAGAAGGCTTGTTTCAAACGCAACGTCAGCTCTCCAAAGTCAGCCTTTTTGTCATTTTATCGAATTTACACGCTTCATTGTTGCATTTTTGATGATAACTCACCTTTCCTGAGCCACCAAGCCTACTAGCCTACTTAGCACAACCCATTTTTGATTTAAACACCATCTATTAACAATAGACCCGCACACACACACACACACATACACACACCCCTGCCAGATATTGAACAGGCGCAGCCTTGCGCAGCAGCTGTGACAACAACTGATGTCACCTCTCTGCAGAAATTTCCACAAGCGCCTTCCAAAGGCCAAGTTAAAGGAGATAGAGCTTATCAGTTGCTTTAAAGCGGGCCTGCAYGAGAGGGGCCCGCGTGGCGGCCGGCGCGGCCGCGGGGGTGTGGTGTGTCCAAGGCCCCTATCAGCCCGCACATGGCTGCGGAAGATAGGGAACAGCAGAGACGCCGGAGGAGCCATGCGGCCACCACTGCCCGGGGCGGGAGGGTCACGCGGTGCGGCCGCGGCGGGCGCGCACCCACTGGGCGCAGAGCGGCCGCCGCGCTTCACGCAGGCCGCGTGCATCCCGCCCCGCGCTGCTCCGAGCCTCCGTGGGGCCAGCCACTCCTTCAAAGGGCTATGGGTTCTTGGCGTCACACTAACGCCGTAAAAGTGAGTCGTGATTTTATTTTTTATTTTTTTTCCAACTTTTGCCCTGCTTTGGGGTATTGCATAGATTGAAAGGGAGTTACTAGGAAAGATGTTTTTCCAAAAGCTATTCCTAAGAACAAACAAGTCCCTGCCTCTTTCTTACCTGAGAAATACTTAAAAAATTGGGAGATAGCCTCTTCGGTTTTATTGTTGAAACAACTAAATGTTTCATATTTCCCTCAATGCCTTTAAATCATGATTAAATGATCAGTGTGGCATATTGTTCAGTTGCAAACTGAACTGCATCAGCTGCAAAGAGTTAAATTTTCAAGTATTCACAATATTCATTTTATGTGAAATATTAAATAGCCAATAACATTAAGAGAAGATGGCACTTATTTAAAAATTTGTAGTACATCTCATCTAACTGCTTTTGGTCCTTACTAGGACCAAAAGGTATCTTGTAGCAAGTGCTGTGAAACTTGCTACACAAGCAATGATACTGAGCCTGCGGTTCAACAACTTGCAATTTTGACCCTAAGTTTCTACCCAAATCTCTACATGGGCCTCTTAACACAAAGAGCATTAGTTACCACACACTAGTGGATGGATGTTGGCAATGCACCACTTTTGCTCAGTGACTATGCCACTTCATTCCTGCATTTATATGCACTTACCCCTCCTGATGTCACCATTTCACTAGGCTTGAGGAACATTTTCCTGCAGTAAACATTTTCTGCTTTGCAAAAGCTGTAAATAGACACGGGAACAAAAAGAAAAAAAGGATCCACTGAGCAAAGACAGACACTTTTCAGGCCTTTTTTAAAGTCAGATGCTAGAGGGTAGCCTCCTCCTTTGCAGCACAGCTTTACATTAGCCACTTACTTTTTGCAGTGTTGTACCTTAGAACATTTTGCATTCTTATAGCCTCCTTTCCACCCTCTCTGCTTTCAGGATATCATGGCAGTCTTCTCCAGATTCATATTCTGAATGACAAACTTCATCTCATCTACTGACGTTTTGCCTCAGCATTGTTGCCCCACTCTGTTCCACTGAGGCACGTCCCTTGTAAGCTCTGCTACTGGTGCAACACTAACAGATTCTGGCATACAGCACAGCAATGTACAAGGTCTGGATTAAACATTGGAGTGAAAGTTTTATATAATGGTATACAATAATTCAGTGGTAAAAATAGTAAGAGATGTTAAAATTAATTCTTACATTTGTCTCCTGAAGTCTTTCTCTGAACCTGACTACTGACAGGGGAYTGATAAAACTCCTTTTTTTTAATGTAATTTTCTGTGGCTCTGTCAGATTTCTCCACTCTTATTGCAGTCTCACATCTGTTAAGATTATCCCGAGATAGTCTAGCCAGCTCACATTGGGTGAAGAAAGTTCATCGACCTTTGCCTATTTACTCTTTCAAAGCTGAGAGTCTCCATATAGAAAATGAGCTTTCTAGGCCATGGACAGCCTCATATTTCAGCAGAAATGTGCCCAGCACAAAACTGTGGCAGAAAYATAGATGTTAATGCCTTGCTGAATAATAATATTTTCCCAGGTGCTGCCCAGAGTTTTAATGATAGCTCCAGCCATGAACATATAAGAGTAGCTGAGACACAGCTGCTTGAAACAGTGACATGCAGCAGTTTTATAGGCAGTGAAATAAGACCTCCTTCAAGAAAGCTGTTGAAAACAGCTGCAGATCTGTCTTCCTTGAGCCTCCTTAGCTCTTTTTTTTTCATACTCTGTGAGTTCTGCTGGCCCATACTCTGTGGCCATTCTGGGAACTTTAGAAGATGATTAAACACAAGATTTGTGTGTCGTTATAACTTCTGCAAATTCAGCTTCAACTTTTATTCAATGAAAACCCCAACACTCAGGATCCAGGACAGGAACCTTCCTATTTCTGACTTTTCTACTGCATGGTGGTCACAGTTACTTCTCCCACCATCATCTGTTTACAAACTGCCCTGTTTAAATAACCATTACTCGTGCTAGAACTGTATAAACAAGACATGGATTTCCACACACCTAAAGTCTTTTGTGAGCCCTGAATTATTACAAGGAAAAGAACTTTCAAWCTTCTCCATAAAAGTTTTCCCCAGAGACATAATGGCTTTTCTGCCCAAGTTCACTTCCATCTTTATGCTTCAGGAGTGTTCTAAATGATCCTATTATTTATGCATGCATACATATGAATGTAGGTGTGTGATGTATGTGTATGCATGCATAGAGAAGTGTATATATATAGCATATGTATAGATATGTGTGTGTGCATGCACATATATATATATATAAAAGTTCTTTCCATACAGATGGTGAGATGTCAGTTATGAATTAATATAAACTTTTACCAAAGGTACTCATAACTGAGAGTATCTAACTCTGTCAAAATGATTCAGGCTTGAAAATGGGGAAGAAAAAGTCTGCAGAAAGGGCTTATGCTAAGCCAGATCCTACAGCCAGAATTAAGTGCCACTTGTGCAGCCGTGCCTGTAAGCTAAAAGGGATCTTAATGACAACTTGCTGAGGGCATGGGATAACCTCCTCACCTGGTTTCTCTCCAGCCAGAACTGCAATAGGCATAAGCCAGAACCCACCYCATTGACTATGATAAAAACATTAGTGTCTAGGAGTAACTCACTGTTGATGCAGATTAGACAGTAGTTGATGCAGGTCTCTTTGTGCCTGCAAATTTCTCTCACCTGAGTTTAAGACAGCTCCAGCCTAGTGAAAAAGCCATGGGAAATTTCATAGTAAGATAGGACTTACTCTGGGCAAGACCTAAAAGTCTGCATCTCCTTTGAATTTGAGTATGTAACTACTCAGCCTAGTTCTGAAGTTCTTTTGGATAAACTTTGAATAAGGTTAGAAAAAGATAAACTTTGTTGTCTCAAACATGCCTGCAACTGATAATGCTGAATAAAACCGCTCATTTCATTTCTAGCCTATAGCACTTCAGAAGGAGGACAGCACCTCATGTTATTTATTTCCCTCCTAAAGTGAAAAAATAGACACAGGCTACCTTTGCCTATGACATTCAGTGGAAGGTGGAAGATGCTGCTGATGTGTGAGACAAGGGTTCCCTGCATATCCACCCCATGGTGGAAGTCACGAGTGGGACAGAAGTCTTTGCATAAAGGCTTCCTTCAGGTCTCTATAGCCCCCATGTTAGCATCTCTGCAATAATGTGGTGATACAAGACGTAGAAGAGAGAAAGAAGAACAGGTAGGATATTTGGTGCCAGCCCCATGTTGCTATCATTCTCATTTCTATGCACTAAGCCATCCAACTGCAGAAATGAAACTGCACTCCCAGAGAGACTTTTCTTCTGCTCTGCTTGTGGATATGGGTGCGTGTATTTGGGTGAGCTTGCTTTTTAAAAGAAAAAAATGTTAATTTTATATGCTCTAAAATAAGCAAATTGCAAGCCTGTTTGCTCTATGGAAATAGACGACAAATTTCTCACCAGCAGCCCAAAGCCATCTGCTAAGATGCCGCAGTGCTAATGTACAKTATGCTTGGGCACCTTTTACATGTTATATTGTACACACCTATTTACTTGGAAGCAAATCAGCTGCTGCCTACACTAAAGTTTGCTTTTGTCTGCTCTTGGAGATGGGATGGTGCCCTGGGGAGGGCTGCAGGCATTCCAATACCAAGGATCAGCGCCTTCGGAAAATGAAAAGGCTGCTAAAAATAAGCAACATTTGCTCATTGGTATAAATAACAAAAGTGAGAGAGAAAGAAAAACAGAAAGAGAACAAGACGAAAATGAAAACTGGCCCCAGACCAGACCTTACAGAATAACTAGTCACCTCCTCATTGCCAATTCTGTCACCATCTCCAGTATGGACAAGATCCTTCCCTCTGCCAAGTGCCCTCAGCTTTCCCRAGAGAGCCATTACTCAGAGACTCGCTAGTGGGCCTGGGCACAGGAGCCAACTCGCACAACACACTTGTCTTTCCTTAGGAACTCCAGGGTTTGGGCATATTGAAATGAGGGCACGTCATTTAACAAGACCAGCACCTAATATCAGCATGATCCCTGCAGTAGCCTTTGAAGCAACTATTTGGTTCTTCTCTATTGTGTTTATAAACAGGAAAACGGGGGGAAAAGGAGAAGCAAAGGGGTTGCTCTTCCATATAGCTATCATCATTAAAAGCTTTATCTTCCCTTTATTAAAGTAGAAAAAACTTTTGGAATCCCATTTTTCTSATAGACTCCCCCAGCAAATGGCTCCCAGAGCATATCTGGCTGCTTATTCTCAAGTACCAAAGTCAAGAAAACTAAGACCACCTGCTATTTGGACGAAAACTGGAAGGCTAAGCTAATGAAAAATTCCCCCTTTTCCTATATTCCTGAAAACACTCTATACCCACATGGCACCAGACTTTTAAAGGTGGGCTCCAGGCATTTCATAGTGTTAAATGTCTTTTTATGCAACAGCAAAGTTTAATGCTAAATAGGCTTCCGGTTACTTTTCATTTTAGGCTCTCACTAATAAAAAGAAATAATAATTGGGAACCAGCTCCTAAGTAGCACACTTAATTGTACYTCTGTTTCTATTTCTTGTGTTTTATTGTATAAAGCACACCAAAAAAGATTTCTAATAGCCCTACAGTTAAACTAATAATGGCATTAACAACACCCACACAGGGCCATAAGCAGGTTTAGCAGCGAGAGCTGCAGCAGCTGCCTGTCCTGAGTCTCTGCCAGAGGTCACCATCCCACAGCAGGATCAGCTGATTGTGGCATGGATAAACTCCCAGGCAAGTGCAGTCTACAGGCTGCAGCATTAACTTAAACCACCTCCAATTTCAGCTTACTCTGGCAGGAACCTCTTAGAAAAAGAGAAGGGAAGAAAGCTAAGGCTGGTAACTGTTTCATCTGTTAGTATCAGATAAATCTACCTTTTCATTGCATTTCAAAGCCCTAACAAGCAGAATAGTCAAGAGGTTTATAACAATGTTCTGGCTTGCCATGAATCAACATGCATTCTCATAAAAAAAAAAAAGGTCACTAGCATAACCATTGAAGAGCACTTGCTGAACTAAGTGCTAAGAAAGTCCTCTAAAGCTTATCCAGGTGCATGCAGGCTTTAAACTTTTTTTTTCTTCTAATTTTTTTTTAATAGTTTCAACTGCTGTCTCTTAAGTTTAACCTTTTCCAAACCCAGAAGCAGAATGGTTTTGGGTAACTCTACATGACCCAGGCAATGTTCCAATATCCCAAGCAGCATAGCTACTATATGAATTCTTGAAACAGTAAAAGCACAAAGGAAAAAGTTCTCTCTCCAATTAGGTCTTTTTTTTTTTTTTTTTTTTTTTTTTTCTCCCTTTCTTCTCATGTTAAGCTTGCAGAGAATTGGCTCAAAAAGCAACCAAGCTCTGTTTGGCATTCAAAGAGGAGGTGCAAATATTTACAATAGATTTGCTCATAAGTAACCATGGAGAAAACAGCAGACAGTTACAGTCAAGTTTTTAGTGCACACACTGTCAAATTGACGTAAAATAGCTAATAGTGAAAGAAGGTGTGGTGTGATTGAGGAAAGCACCAAACTTGAGAGCAAGAAAATGGTACAAAAGGAGTACCATAGTCCTCACAGTGTGAAAAGTATGTGCCAGAAAAGTGAAGATTTAAAAATGAGGACAAGATTTATTATATTTAGTCTGAAATGTGATAAGAGAAGCTTAAGGCTGGGAGGTGGGGAACAGTGAAACAAGGGGGAACTTTCAAAAGGAGAATGAGTTGTGATATCTGAAAAGGGTTTCTTTYACCATGGTTGAACCACACTTACGTAGCTGCAATACCACAAAGTCCKGGTATCGGTGCGTTGCACTGATCTAAGAGGGAACTTCTACTGTGGCTTTCACCACCCTTCATCCTCGGCATGAGGGTTTACACTGACACAGCTCCACTTAGCCCTCACGTAACCATCTCACATGTCCTTGTACACTACCCCCCCGCACAGGCGAGCCCATCGGGAGAGCTGGATTCAGAAAGACACCAGAGACGACAGTTCAGAAGATAAGGTTCAGAGATAACRGTTCAGAAGGACACGAGAGATGACGGCGGGAATGGAGGAACCGCCTTGCAGACATCAAGATGAGAGATCTCACATG